GGGCCAATTTCTGCTGTCCGTGTTTTGTCTGTAATTCCCGTCTCTGTAGCTCCCTGTGTCGTTCCTGTCTGTCAGTCTGTGTGATCTAATGGCAAACATTGGAAAATAGCAAATTATCAGGAATTGGATGAAAGAGATTCCTGTGCAATATAGGCTAAATATAGAAAAAAAACAACTAAACCCTTCTTCCTAATTGATTGGATCCCGTATTCTAATGATTTAAGCACACAATCACATTAATAGCCTCCTCTCTGTCAAACATGCTGGGTAGCCATGCCAGAGAACATCATAGCAGAAGATAAGAAAATAGAATTTTGATAAAGTATCTACAGATACCAAACGCTTTGATAGTGTAGCCTTATGTATGATAAGGAAGTTGACTGCTGTATATCATTATAATTACCATTTGAAATAAATTTGTATTATCTGCAAGGAAAGAAACAATAGTTTACTTATCCTGATAACAATTGTCTTATCTTCGGGGCAGAAGGCAAGCCTGAGAAGGCCAAAGGTCACATCCATAAGAGGGAAAAATGTTGTATTGTAAGCAATTCTTTAGATTGTCCGGGAATGGACCATTTGAGGATTGTCTGTAAGTAAATGGCTTTGTGGTAAAGAGCTAGACCTAAACCTCCCTTGTAGTTGGTGTGGCGCCCATAAAATAACACCCATAATCCTTAAGTGACATCGCTAGTATAGAAACATAGAATGTGATGACAGATAAGAACAGACTTGGCCCATTTAGTATGCCCAATTTTCTAAATACTTTTATTAGTCCCTGGCCTTATCTTAGTTAGGATAGCCTTATGCCTATCCCCAGAGCAGGTCTGGCCCATTGGGATACCAGGAAATTTCCTTGTGGGCTGCGGCACCTGGGGGCTTCAGATAGAGACGGAGCCCTGCTCCCTATATTTTAATAATATTGAGGCCGCTGGCCGCATGTCGGTGCCGCCGGGTGGCCTGTCTGGCAGCACACTCTGAGGTGGTTATACTTACCTTGCGGCCAGCGGCCCCATCTCCAGGACTGTCAGTATAAGTGAGTCAGCCGGACGGCCACCTAACCAGTCCGGCGGCACACATAGAAACATAGAATGTGACGGCAGATAAGAACCATTCGGCCCATCTAGTCTGCCCAATTTTCTAAATACTTTCATTAGTCGCTAGTCTTATCTTATAGTTAGTTTACCTAAATCATTTGTCATTTGGCTTATCCCTCCTGGAACATCAACACTGTTACATATCTTAGGATCATCAGCAAAAAGACATACCTTACCATCAAGACCTTCTGCAATATCACTAATAAAAATATTAAAGAGAATGGGTCCAAGTACAGATCCCTGAGGTACCCCACTGGTGACAAGTCCTCCTGTGCTGACAGCTATACTGCTATCAGTATCAGTGAGTGTGCTACTTCTAAGTGCTGTTTCTAAGTGTCTAGTTGGAGATATTCTGGAGAGTTTTACAGAAGCTTCAACTGTCTAAGAGTTGTGCTAAGAGCTTTCTTTTCTACTGTTACAGGTAAGATTCATCTGTAGGAAAAGGTTACTGATTGCCCAAGGTTTGAATTCCTGTTGGTAATTATAAGGCATTTGATTTGATTAACCCCTTAAGA